TATAATTTGACATTTATAAACCACATAACCTTATAACCTTGTATTGCATAATAATTTATAATAATTTATAAGAATTATAAGTATATATTAAGAGGCATTGTTTTCTATGTCACGTATTTGCGATGAAAAGTGTTCAAAACCGAAAATCTTTTTGGCGTTCCTCTCAAAATTGCTTTGTTTTAGCTTTATTCTCTAGTTTATACAGTTACCAACCTTTTTGAATGCATTTGCCAGTTGAGAAACATAAAATAATAGCAAAAAATTGTCAATTAAAATACAATTATCACTGACGCTTTAAAAGTGACGCCTTATTTACAGACATATAAGCCAAACCTGCTGAACTTCAGACAGCGTTTTCTCTTTGGCGTACCATCTAAAATCTCTTCATTTTGGCATTATTTTACAGATAAAAGACTAAACATACTTTTCAAGTTTGTTTGCCGATTGAGAAACGTATCGAAAAATAAAAATGTTGGATGTATAGTCATAACAGCAAGTGGTATATTACACTCATTAGTTTTGAGCGCGTGTTATGTAGCATACAAAAAAATCTCCTCTTAATACAATAATCTCTGAGTCACTATAGTTGTGCACGTTTGCATGGTTTAACCAGGAATTTTAAGTTAACCCAGACAGGTGTATTTCTATAGGTTAACCATGCAGGCAAAATTTTAACCAGGATGTTTAGAGTGTTAATTTCTAGTTTATACAGTTAGCTAGCGTATACATGCAGTAGCTTGCATCTTGAAATGCATCTGGTGCATGGCCGAGAAACAATAAAATAATGGTAACTGACATATTGTCAATTAATTATAAAAATATAGCTGCCATGCATGCAATGGGTATACTTCAAATTGCTATATATAGCTATGCAAGACCCTGGTATACGTATATACTGAATTTCAGACATCATTTTTTCTTTAGTGATATCATCTAAAATTTCTTCATTATTTTACGAATAAAGCGCAAAACGTATACATATAATTGAGAGTATTAAAAATTAAAAGTTTTGAATGTATAGAAACACAGCTTTGAGCGCGTGAACGTATAACATACAAAAATCTGTCTCAAGATTCGACAATAACAATCCTGGGAGTAGATTACAAGCTAATACACCTAGTGACATTGCGACGATGTTTAATGAGTACTTTCAATCTGTCTACACCTGCTTTCAGGATCTATCACCTTCGTTTCAACCAGATTCATCTTCTCCATTATCAAGCATTTCATCAATTGACCTATCGGTAGAAGAAGTTTTCCAAGCCTTGCAGAACTTAGATCCGTCAAAGGCTCATGGTCCTGACGGGTTTCCTTCGCGCATTCTAAAAGAATGTGCCTTCCAACTAGCTCCATCACTTCATCATCTATTCACTAAGTCGCTCCGCTTATCGCAGGTTCCAGCCGAGTGGAAGTTAGCCAACATTGTTCCTCTACACAAGAAAGGACAAAAAGATCATGTGGAAAATTACCGCCCTATTTCATTGCTATCAATCATAAGCAAGGTCCTTGAAAGATGTGTCCTCAATCATGTATCCTACCATATTCAGTCCAACATTAATTCGGCGCAGTACGGTTTCGTTAACGGAAAATCAAGCACAGCTCAGTTATTATCAATATTAAATATTATTGGAAAGAACTTGGATATGGGATTACAAACTGATGTTGTTTTTATGGATATTGCTAAGGCTTTCGATACCGTTGACCACTCCAAACTGTTGCAAAAGCTGCAGGAATTCGGTTTTTCTGGTTCTCTCCTCCTGTGGTTTAAGAATTATTTATCCGGACGCTTCCAACGAGTAACTGTTCACGGTGCTACGTCGACCACTTTATCCATTACTTCTGGGGTTCCACAAGGATCGTTATTGGGTCCCTTTCTCTTCTCTGTATATATCAATGACTTACCTAGCTATGTATCATCCTCTACTGGGGTCGGACTGTTTGCTGACGACACCAAGCTGTATCGTTGCATAAAAAATCCTTCTGATGCCTTGGTCTTGCAAGAGGATATTCAAGGTCTTCGATGTTGGTCAAATGAACACCACCTTCATTTCAATCAATCCAAGTGCAAGGTACTCTCTATAACCAGAAAAACATCACCTTTGGTTTCTCCACACAGTCTTGCCGGTGACCTGTTGTCCTTTTCTGATGCTGAAGTTGACCTGGGTATAACTATCAGTCCCAAATTAACATGGATCCATCAAGTGAGCAAGGTGAAGTCCAAAGCTAACAAATTGCTTGGATTAATTAGGCGATCTACCTTGGAAATGACTGACATCAAGGCGAGAAAGTATCTGTACTTACAGCTCGTTCGAAGCAATCTTGCGTACGCATCCCAAGTATGGTGTCCACAGTCCGTACAGTTAATTGAAAATATCGAGAAGGTGCAGAGAAGAGCAACCAAATTTATCCTTAATCTTGGGTTTGTCACCAACATACCGTATCCAACAAGACTACATAACCTAGATCTACTACCCATAACTTACTGGCACGAATACCTGGATATATTCCTACTCTATAAAATCATTAACAATTATACATATATTGACGACAGTGCTCGACCGGTTATATCAGGATCAGGAATCACTAGAAGTGAAACTAATGACAATCGAATTAAATTCTTAATACCTTATGCCAAAACTGTAACGTTCCAGTCCTCGTATTTTATTAGAGCTTGTAAAACCTGGAACATCCTAAGTCATGATAACCTTCGAGACAGAAACATTGGTTTCTATGCTTTTAAATCAGGACTGAAACTGTACTATTAGAACGCACTATCGAACACGTATAACTGTGACGATCCTCGGACTTGGAAATCTGTCTGTGTTAAATGTAAAAGGGCTAGATCCCTTGATGGTGTTTTAAACTGTTGTTAGTTGTCAGTTTAGTCGTTTTGTAATTGTGTTGTTTTACTTTGTCTGTTTCGTTAATCAATTATTTGAACGTAATTTTTTATGTAAATATTAAGGGATCGCCGTAATTGGGGGAACCTGTGGCGAACTCCCTGGCACTACATTGTTGTATTTTTAGGTAGTTGCCGAATCTTCTTAAAACATTAAAACATTAAAAATCGCATGGCTGCGGCCAAAGTATAAATTGACATTCGCTACAGACAATTTTTTATAGGGTTTCCGAGACCATCCATGCACACATGAATTAACAATCTAAAATGTTCATCAGACATCAGTGAGTATTGACAATGAACCCACAAGGATTACTGGAACATCAGCAACTCTAATTAATCTAATTCTGACAAATAAAGAGGAAAATATTTCAAAGTCTGGTGTCATACACCTTGGACTTTCTGATCACAGTATGATTTTCGCTATTAGAAAACATTGTATTCCCAAATCACGGGAAAAGGTTAAACATATTCGTAACTTTAAAAATTTCAATGCCAATGATTTTCTTACGGATCTTTCACAGATGCCGTGGGAGAACATTGCCCAACATGACAATTCTAATGTATGCTGGCAGGTATGGAAATCACTATACCTCCAGGTCCTTGATCGACACGCTCCCCTTAGACGTATGAGAACTCGTGGAAATTCTCTCCCTTGGATTTCTTCAGACATCAAGGGTATAATGAGATCAAGAGACTTCCACAAAATAAAAGCGGTTAGATATAATTCTCAAAGTCATTGGACAAAATATAAGGAATTACGAAACAAAGTTAATACTGAACTAATTAAAGCTAAAAGAAACTATTTCTGCAATAAAATAGAAGATTGTGCTCAGTCCAAAGACATAAAGCAAAGTTGGAATTTAATTAACCACCTTATGGGTAAAAATGTGAAATCAAACACGATATCCCAACTTAAAATGGATAATTCTGTCATTTCAGACGATAAATTGAAATCTGAGGCTTTTAATGATTTCTTTGTCAATATCGGGGCAAAACTTGCAGCTGAAATTGAAGATAATTCCCTCAACACAAATTCTTTTGCTCGCGGAGATTCTAGGCCTACTACCAACTCCAATCTTTTTTTCAAATTTTCTGAAATTAACGAGGACGAAGTAATATATCAATTGCGTAGTCTCAAAATTTCAAAATCCACAGGATTAGATAACATCCCTGCTAAAGCTCTTAAAATATCCGCGGACATTGTTGGTCCGCCATTAACTTGGATATTTAACCTTTCGATCAAAAAAGGAGAATATGTGGATGAATGGAAAAAAGCCTGGGTTACACCCATTTATAAATCTGATGACAGGTTGAAATGCGAGAATTATCGCCCTATCTCGATACTACCCATTGTTAGTAAAATACTTGAGAGATGCGTTTTTAATCAAATTTATAAATTTCTTAATGACAATTCACTTCTTTCAAAACATCAACATGGTTTTCGGCCTAAACATTCAACTCTCACCGCTCTAACTCAGGTGTGCGATACTCTTTATGAAAATATGGATAATGGTCAATTGAGCGGCATTGTTTTTCTTGACATTCGTAAAGCCTTCGACTCAATTGATCATAATATTCTGCTTCATAAATTAAAAGATCAATTCGGTATATCGGATATTGAGTTAAGATGGTTTGAGTCTTACTTAAATAATAGGGAGCAAGTCTGTATTGTTAATAATTCAATGTCATCGTCAAAACGGATTGTTTCTGGGGTTCCGCAGGGATCTATTTTAGGTCCACTGTTATTTTTACTCTATATCAATGACCTCCCCGAATGCCTTCAAAAAACTACTCCTTATTTATATGCTGACGATACCCAAATTTGCTGTAGCTCTAACAGTTTGGTTGAATTAACCGAAAACCTTAATCACGATCTGAGTAGAATCGGTGATTGGCTTTCTAGAAATAAATTACAACACCACCCAACTAAGACCAAAATAATGTTCATTGGCTCTAAACATCATATTAATTCCACAACTTTTGATCATCCAGTGATGTTAAATAACCAACGCATCCCCAGAGTTCACTCTTTCACATGTCTTGGTCTCGATTTAGATGAAAATCTTAACTGGAATTCACATATTCAGGCGATTTGCAAAAAGGTTGGAGCAGGCCTGGGTACTTTGAGACGTATTAAACCCTTTGTTCCAATAACCACCCTTCAAACAATTTATCGAGCTCTGATTCAGCCGTATTTTGATTATTGTTCTCCCATTTGGGGCGTCTGTGATCAAAATTTGAAAAATAAACTCCAAAAATTTCAAAATCGCGCAGCCCGAATCATTGTCGGTGCAAGTTATGAGATTAGATCTGCTGATGTTCTTCAATCTCTTGCTTGGGACAATTTAGAGACAAGACGACGTACAACCAAAGCAATATTAATGTTTAAAGTCTTGAAGGATTACGTAGGACCTACGTTGAAAGAATCCTTGATAAGACGCAATCATATGCAAACAAATTATGATCTTAGAAATAGTCATACAGATTTGGCTCTTCCTAAGCCTAAAAGAGAATTCCTAAAAAAGAGTTTTAAATACAGTGGGGCTAAGCTATGGAATAGTCTCTCTATCGATACGAAACTGGCAGAATCAATGCACCTGTTCAAAAGCCATTTAAAACTTAACTCTAATACTATATATATTTGAAATAAATTGTAACTCCGTCTAACCATAACATCTGGGGTCACACCAATTTGTAAATAGTCTTCTTTTCCCTTATATCTTTTGTAATTTTTAACATTGTAGACGCCCCCCGTGGAAACCAACGCACCGTTGACGGGGCTAGTGTCTCTAAATAAAGTTTTAATACAATACAATACAAAATACAATGACGATCAACCACATGCAGTTATCACCGCATACCGTATTTACTCGATTGAGCACCGCCCTCGATTGAGCGCCGCCCCCGAATAAGCGCCGCATTTGAGATCAAATTTTTTTAAAGAGCGCCGCCCCCGAATGAGCGCCGCACTAAACAGTGTAAAAACTTTCCACCGTCAAAATGGAGACATTTAGTGACGAAGACATTTAATACTTGTTTATTTCATTGTTAAAAGTTCTTGTTATAATTCACAAATAAAATATTTTTTAAAGAGCGCCGCCCCCGATTGAGCGCCGCCCCCGAATGAGCGCCGCATCTGAAGCTCTGAAAATTTAAAGAGCGCCGCGGCGCTCAAACGAGTAAATACGGTATTCAAATTTACTGTGTAGTAATTGATATGGCAAGCGAAATAAATTATAATTTAACATTGGCTAGGCCATTTCAGAAGCACTCATGCAATAACCTGTGACTGTGTGATTCCAGAATATACAGTCGAAATTCCTCCTGATCAATAAAACTACAAAATTTAAATTCAGCTTTATTTTGAGCTATTTTAATACTAATATGACGCTATGAAAATCATATCCAATATTTTTCGTAAAATGTTGAGTTTGAACACAATAATATTGTGCGTCGGTCTGGAATTACAAAATCAATGATCCATGAGGCTCATAAAAATAAAAAATTTAATGGTCAAGATCAACCTGAATGCAACCATTAATCTTCTTTTTGGTGAAAATATAAGTTTGTACAATTCTGTGCAACTTTGCATGAAAAATACACGAGAGATAGAGTTAAATATTATACTGACTAAACGTTGATCAATTTCTGATATTGCATACCACACAGGGTTATAGTATCGGTTCAGTGATCTGCAATTCTTTATACGGTTTGCTGGACACTCGATCAAGCATTCATTTTAAAACGTCACACAATTTCGGCGATAAAAACATGTATTGATATATTTGAGGCACACAGTTTGAAGCATAACAGCCGAGATAACAGCTATATACCTATTCTGTGATGCACTTTTCTCTAATTCAACTATATTAACCAAGTCACAACTGTATGCTTCGACATGACAAATCATCATGGATGAGCACGCATTGGCTTAGAAGGTAAATTATTTAGACGAGTATATCTCGTATACATGCATGCATATATTCTATTAGGCCTACGTCGTGCGTGTATAGAAGAATGGTAATAATAATATAACACTGTAGTAAACAGGTATTTGGACTATAAACTCCTATATGCATGTGTTGTTATTCCTAAATCCAGCTTTTCACGATAAAGTTTTAGAATTTAGGCTTCAACATTGCGTATAGAATTCGCGGTCACTTCATACAAATGTATAGCCGAAAAGCCTGTAAAAGTCTTATAAAGGATACCACCAGAAAATTAAACTGTATATGAAACAGAAACATAGCACTAACCTTAAATTATTGATCAGAGTGATTAGATGATGTGGTTTTCATGAAACAATGGCGCAATACTGTTTATATAGGAGCGAGCGCATCGATGGCGTAGTCGTCAGAGCAAGCGCGCCTTTCACTTCCGAGATCGTGGGTTGGATTCTCGCTACGGACTCATGTGAAAAGAGTCAGTCAACGCTTTGCCAAAAGTCGTGGGTTCCTCTGGTTTCCTTCCACAGGGAAAGTTGACTGCAGGGACCAGGGTGGGTTAGGATAAATGCAGTTAAAAAAGTAATATCACAATTGTTGTAAAGATAAAATAGTCTGGGCTAAGTATAAGAAATTAGATAAGCGTATATATATAATACTTGATGTAATTAAAATGCATTTGATCATGTCCACAATTCACAACGGTAAATTTGCGCTATATATAGAAATGTTACTCGTAATCGTAACATTTAATCGACTGCATGTTATAACTGGTATATAAACAATGTTGATTTCAGGGAGGAAAGCGTTTGGAAACTGTAGGAGGCATGTTAGGCGTTTTAAAAGCCTTAACAATTGTTGATGGACGCGACGTGCAGAGCGCACAATGTGCTTTTTAGTTTGTTCAAATGAGCATAGCACATTAATATAGGATGTGTGTGAAGCTTGCAGTTGACGAATATACAAAAAGCCATCTTGTTTCGCTATTCCTGTGAAAACCCAGCGGTATTTACCGAAGATACATGCATCAAAGCCGCTAGCCAACCACAAAAGGACGATCAATAACCCACCCTTCTTTGCCGGAAAAAACGTTGTTGACCGCTCTGCATTGGGAACTCTACATTGGGAATCTTAAATGGTCGTTCAACCCAATTCGACATCGTCCAACAATCACTACATTGTTGGTTCAACTAAAATGTGCCCAATCAGCGCATGGCGTCGCCAGCATATGCATGCAAGCATGAAAATAGAGATTTGTCATTTGAGCAAGTCAACGAAGTATATTGGGTGGATTATACTCTAATTTCTAAAGTACATTTTACTGACAAGTCAAATCTGGGTTGTAAGTGTGCGAGATGTATAAAACTTTTAATATTTTTACATTTAGTTCTAGTTATCTAAATATAATTACCTATTTCATGATTGTACATATTATAGAGTCAAGCATTTTTAACATGATCCTATAAGGCTTGGGAAATTGAGCAATCGTTCCCTATGCTTTTGACTTTAAATAAATTGTAATGTACTGTATTATATTGTATTATAATATTATATATAACAGTGCACTGCAGTTATCTGGTTGAATAGTTGCGTCTGATATTTCAGTTCAGTTTGACACTCTATAGTCTTGACTAATATATACGCTGATAACCCTTACTGGAACTCTATAATGGCTGCATGATTTATGCCACAGTCATGCAACTTTTGCCTAAAACTGTCGCATGCAACCTGCTTACAACTTGAGTTGTACATACTGTGTAAATCAAGCACATGATAACTCACTACCTATACGACAATGTATAGGCGAGTTATGTGTGCTTGATTTACACAGTACAACTCAAGTTGTGTAAGCAGGTTGCATGCGACAGTTTTAGACAAAATTTGTGCAGTGTATATCAGCCTAGCTTAAGACAGCAGTTTTCATATTTTTTTCCACAATTATTTTTCTTGGATGTTGAATGCATCAAATATAAATAGATTTTAATAACACTGATGGCTTCTAGTAGGCTCCTAGCCCTTATTTGCATGCAAATATGATACTATTAGATGTTCTAATTATTTTATTCTTTTTGTAATATATTTGGCTAAAATCTATCCAGTATTAATTAGTTCATACGTCGAATGCCAGAACCACGAAACCATGCATGTATAGGCCCTATTATATGGTTTTGTTCGACAAGCCGCTTGTGTTCATGCATGCCGAACAACTATATAGATTGAATAGCCGCATTATTTCATATCTGTTTCTATTACAAAATATCGTGTTATTAAAATCAAACCGTTTTAGATAGATATAACCCATGTAAACAGCAATGGCTTATGAGTTATGCGAAATGTTATTAATATAAAAATCATCGATCCATGAAACTTATAATTAAGGACGATCAAGGTAGCATTATTGTAATACTAATAGACTTTAACTTCAGTATCTGAGTATCTCGGTATGAACATTTTCGTTTTCGCTAATGGTACAGGAATCAAAACTAGCCAAATCCGATATAGAATTACCCATGTTCCTCTTCTAGCCTGGCTTAACATTGTACATGTATGTATCATAATTTGTTGAATATTTCGAGTGTTTAATTATAAGCCGCCATGCTGTGCCGCGATTGACTTTTTGACTTTTGTGCCCGTGTCTCAACTACATGCATGTCCGTATCAAAATTTCGAACTCTGAACAACATTTAACGATTTGGCTATGGCTTATGCGCTTTAATATCGTCTTAAACAACCTTAGCCTTAGGTCATCTGCTTCTGCATGGTTATATTTGAACAGAATTTTCTCACATTTTTTCCCCATAGAAAGAGGGTGTTCCCATGAAAGACGGTCTTTGTTCTTGACTAATTTTCCATGCATGACTTGCTCAACTGTAAATAAATAATTATAGGGCAAAAACCATATGAGGTTTAAGTGTAAAAACTGCCGCTTAGAACTGATTCTATTGCCAAGATATGCCGCAATCTTTTGGATAGGGTTTTAGCCTATACCAGAAGCAACCGGTACTAACACTGTAACTTTTGCGTTGTCCAACAGAAACGGAACGGCATCCATGATTTTCTGGGCAGCTACAAAAGTCGAGACAGTGGGAATATGTCACGGAAATTGATCACCAGCAAAGAACTGGATTTCTATCTGTATGGAAGAACCGATGTCTTACCAGTAAAGCTAGAAGAAGGAAGCCCGGAGGAAGAAACGACAAAGCAACAGATTATAGCTAAAAAGATTCCAAATTACGAAGGTATGCATTTACGAATCATACATACTAACACTATAGCACCCCGTTTACTCTAGAGCGAAGGATTCCGGATTCGCAATCATGGACCTAAAAGCCATGCAGCGCTGCCAGTTAATATGTTCTATATACTCTCGAACGGTCCGTGTCAGTGTTGGTGGCGACGGTAACACGATACTGAGGATTGACAGAGATATACAGTTCTGAAAAAATATAAGCAAAACTGCATATACTTTTCAGGTAGTTGTATCTCAAATTCGGCTGTCTTCTAAGTCTTGTTCTATATATCATAATGCAGGTAATATTATGTAAGTAAATTGGCTGAACCACATAGGGAAGCTACGAGCAAGTATAGAGGTAATAGACTGTCACTTCCTTGCCTTGCTCTACAGATTCAATGTACTACAGGCAATCGCACAGAACACGTCAGCACGAACACCATCGTATATCGAATGGTATTCACTATGTCTATATTAGCCTGCATATAGCAATTTTTTGGGGCTTCCAAATTTTTGGGGCGACCCTTGCTCGCGGGTGGCAAATGTAGACTGAGACCCCGTTCACACGATACCGGCAGAGTTTGAAAACGGAACGAAATTCTTACATTTAGCGGTTGCGTTCACACGATGCCGGTATGAAAAAATGTGAAACCGTAACGCTAACCGTAAGAGTTTGAAAACGGAACGAAATTCTTACGTTTAGTGGTTGCGTTCACACGATGCCGGTATGAAAAAATGTGAAACTGGAACGCTATAACCGTAAGAGTTTGAAAACGGAACAAAATTCTACCGTCAGAGAGCCGTGTGAACGCCTAACCGTAAGAATTTCATTACGGTTATGCCAAATGAAATTAACAAAACTACAAAAGTTGTTGTTGGATATTTTATTCTGTCTATTTAACTGATTTGTGCAGCATATTGTATCGGTAGATATCAATTTGTGGTAGTCTTAGTTACCTGAAATTACTCATGAACAAATATGGGGGGCGTTACACCCCACACACCCAGATCGCTACGACCCAGGTCGATTGGGTTCTACAAAAAACCCTCAACTATGATTAGAGTGCATGATGTAAGGCGTGCTCCGAGGTTTTTAACATACTTTGAGGTATTTTGTAACCACTTAAATGGACAATCGTTTTGTAAATAATTTCTACAAGTTGTAATCTACATTTTTTTCTTCAGAGAAAAGTGTCGACATCCTTCAATTGCGTTACAACCCAGGAGTGGAGAAAGAATTTCGCTCCAGTGAAGAATTTAAGAAAGTCTTGGCAGTGATCAAGAGTATCCCATCTCAACTGCACTTGTGTTACTCCAGTGTGCCTGGAGCAGGATTTGGTATCTGCGCTACAGACGTCATTCCTTCAGGAACGTGGATTGGGCCGTACGAGGGAAAGAGAGTATCAATTGAGGAGATTGGATCTATGTTTGATACACGTCACGTTTGGGAGGTACGTGATCTTATAGGCTACGAAATATTTGCCTTCGTTTATTTCCCAGGACTAGCATATAGGCATGCTAGAGGGAGGGGCTGGAGGCTGGCACCCTCCCTTCCCAGTCAGTGTTTAGTCGGGCAGATTCTAATTAAAGATTGGGCAATTTGCTAGGCATGTCTTCCTCAGTCACCCCCCTGGACATGCCCCATTTTTAGTATTTCCAGGGGGAGCTGCTCCTGTTTACGGTACTTGCTGAGTGACGAATCAGACGAATAGAGCTTAAGCAAAAAACAATGGAGATGGACTTCTGTGTAGTATTCTGTGACATTAGTGTTGAGATATTAATATTATTGTTTGGTCAGAGAAATTGATTTAAGAAACTAACAGTTAAAGGGCTTTTGTAGATCTACAAAATGGTCCATGACTTCCATCTATAAAACCCTTCAACCGTTAGTTTTATCGAGCGAGATGTCCCAAAATCTCGATATTTACCCATACCTAGAACTTATACTGGCATAGCCTGCAAACAGGCTCTCTTTGAAATTTGAATTCAAAGAGCCTGTTCGCAGGCTAATACTGGCATCACTCACTATATACCGGTATATATACAAGAACTTGTGGACTGGAATCGTAGGGGGGGGGGAGGTTCGATTCCTGGAAGAGGGCCTATAGTTGCATTTTTAGAAACTGTTCTTGGTTAGGTCAACAGCTGGGCATTCTGTTGTCGCTGTCTAAATATTGCGGGCGCATTTCTTTAACAAACATTTTGATTCTTCGAACGCTGAAAATATGCATTGTGAGAGGATTTTTTGTCCTCTTTTACTGGTTTGTTCATGGAA